TGTCAGTACCAATCATATGCTTCACATATGCATCCTATAATTTGTCTTGAATAAACAAAGCTTATATACATAATATAAGCTCCTATTTATATTCTTATCTTTGACAGAAATCATCAGATTGAATGCTTTTCCTTTGTCTGAGGTGAGTTTTGGTTTAAACATTCGTTTCTTAGGTTTTTCGAACATCATGTCAAAACAGGTATTAATATTTTCCCCATAACCGACTTTGTCTGTACCGTCTTTATGCTCATAAAAAATTCCCTTTTCCTCCTCGGCTCTTATTTTCTCGTCAATGATACCATCTGTGGCCTCATCAATATCCCCAGTGCAGACCAGTGCAGCTTTTGTCGTTTCATCCTCTTCTCTTATTATCTCATCCAGAATTCTTAAATTCGACTTAACTTATCAATACCAATTTGGCTAGCTTTGATTTCATCTTCATATATTAAATTTTCCTCGTAGTCTTCTACCTCTGCTTTAATATTCCGTCTTTTAACAGCTTCATTCAATTCCTTTGGATTTCTTGTATACACTCTAACGTACTTTTCTAGAGAAACACATTTATTGCCTATCCGCTATATATATAAAACGGTCACACATTTTAGTACCTTCTGCTTCCAAAACTGAATCCATACTAACCGATTTCTTAAGAACTCATTCTTTGAATGTTTCAGTTGGAAGTTTTTTTATTATTGCACAATCAATATTAATACTAGATAATGTATTTCCAATGGACAATTCTACAGCATTTGGATGATCTCCTCCTTGTTTCCTGTCATCCGATTGTAGTGGTGTATTTCCAATGGACAATTCTACATCATTTGGATGATCTCCTCCTTGTTTACTGTCATCCGATTGTAGTGGTGTATTTTGGCGTGCACACTCAGGTCTTTTCCTCCTTCTTATGACAATTCGTCTTCTGCTTTTCGAAGGTCTCCACATGTCATTACTGTCTCCATCAGGCCACCAGTTATTCTCAGCTGATTCAGTTGTTTTCTTTCCTAATTTTGTAGCCGTATCACCACTCTTCGTTGTCGTCTGATTCTCCTCAAAGTTAACTTGCCTATCTTGAGGTTAAAGGCAACGTTTATTGAGGTCATTGATTTCCAGTCCCAATGTTGATCTTACATACTATTCTTGGCCTTGACAAAATTTTCTATAGAATAAACTACTTTGACATCATCTAACCTGGTTAAAGACTGGTTTGCATGAATTTTGGAAAACATTTCCAGATCACCTACCTCTGGGACAGCTGGGTGAAACTCTACCTTTCCAAGATGACCGGAAATATTCTTTTACCTTCTCGTTGAATACATGATGACTGGCATGGTGTTAGGTGTGAATAAGGTGGTGGATCTTGTTTAATTGGGCAAAACATTTTTCGTAATCCAAAGAAAAACATTCGCCAAACGCCTCTAAATATCTGTGTTTTAGGAATTCCGTTGCCACTGAAACCTGATGAAAATAAAGCACATTTTTCGTGTATTAGCCATTTGACGAAATACTTCGATTTTTCTGTGATAGGCTGTCATGTACTTTGCTCGGAATGTTTCTTCTGTCTCTTCTCGTTCTGAATCTTTGAATGTTTGTTCAAATGATGTTGGGACTAGTAAGCTTGTTCCAGTGTTATCAAAAGTGAAACGCTCTGAGTGATGTGCATGGACATAATTAAGCTCTCCCTCAAGCTTATTACACATTTATGTTTTAAGATTTAACCAATACTGTTTTTCTTCCAACATCAAGTCCAATTCAATTATTCTTTTATTTTTCCTTTTAATTTCATCTTTGAGTCATAGCCAGTTGTTCAATATTTGACTCTGGATTTTGTTCTTTCCATGCCGACCTGAAAATAAAAGTAATTAGTTGTAGCAATATTTATATAGGAGGATAATCTTTTAGAATGTCAGCTCCAAACATTTTAAGTTTTTCGTCAATATTGTGTAACACCGCCGATTTTTTTTTCTCGAGCTGTATTTGTTCTCACAAGTAACTTCTATATTTTTGTTTTAAAACTTGCATCTCATATACGCTTCTGGTAAAAGAGAGACGGAGGATACCAAAGGGCTATTCAAACTCCTGTTGATGACAAACTGCAACACCATGACAAAAAAGCAAAAAGAAAGACCAAAAGACAAACAACAGTATACAAAACACAACATAGAAAACGGGAAAAATGCATTTATATCAATAACAAGCACAATGATAAAATAATATTTGTTACACCATTCTGCAGTTATCAGACAACTGAAATCAAACTTGCCGAATCTTTCTTTTGCAGTAGCGGATCCGGGGGGGGGGGGGGGGGTTACAATCAATGCATTTGAATGGTAACATATATTTGGAACCCCCCTTTCTCCTGGGTTGGAACCCTCCCTTTTAAAAATGGCTGGATCCGCCCCTGTGTTGTACGTGCAAACTAAAGCATTGTATTTTCAAAATATGAAGCGCTTTTCTGGATTTTCCTTCACCAGGAACGCTCAAACATTAAAAATGAAAGCCAATAATGTACAAATACGTTAGGAGCTGTATGATCAATATATATAGGGACGTATAAGAATAGCTGACTGTGTAATTGAAATTACAATCGTTTGAAAAAAAGTTAATTCGCGGTTATTACAACCGTTCACTTAAATAAATAGGATTGATTGATTGATTGATTGATTGGTTCGTTTGTTAATTGGTTGATTGATTGGTTGATTGATTGATCTGTTGGTTGATTGATTGATTGGTTAATAGATTGATTGAAAACGAATATGCACATTTGGAAAAATAAAGATGAATGTAAGCTTGAATGTAGACCGAATTCTTCTGTCTCTATATAGCATATATTTATTTCCTGATCTGCATTTGCTTTTTACTGTTTTGCTTTTTCCTATTATCGTTTTGTTTGCAAAAATAGTAAAAAGCAAATAAAGACCAGTAATATATGCTATATAGAGACAGAAGAATTCGGTCTAGCTTGAATGTCATTGTTTATTGTAATACTTGAATGAAGACAATCATGTAAAAAAAATATATACTAGTCTTACAAAAGACTAAGACAATTGGTTGGATCAAGAGAAATGATACAATGAAATCCCTACAGAAAATAAAAGATTTGTTCTTTATGTACACTGAATATAGCAGGTGAATATCATTTCACAATAATATATCCAGCAATGAAGGAAGTATATTAATATCTGCTATGAAAGAAGTTGTAAGTGTAAGTCTAAACAGAAAAACAAGTGACTAAAAAACGATCGGAATCATATGAACTCTAACCTGACCGTGACATCATGCACGTACGTCGACAGGTCACGGTAGGCGTCTCTTGGTTACATGCAACGCCTGTCATTCGGTTTCATAACAGTTGCCGTCCCACATATATCATTTTAAAAAGGAGTCATTAACTTAATAAAAAATAAATAAATAAAAAAGTTTTTTTCATATTGAAAATTGAGAAATTTAAACTTGACAAACATCTCAGTTAAACTTATAATTTCAGCTTAAACATTTGTTGCATATTACCAGTCTTTCTTTATTTCTATTTCCAAACCACCTCACATTGGTTAAATTGATGTTTGGTTTTTTTTCGGATTCATTATTTCGCTACCAGAGCATGCATACGATTAGATTTTTATATTATCTTGTGAGGGTTTTGTAAAAGTTTTCACAGCTTAATTGTTCCCAAATTTTGTAAGTAAATTCATTTTATATATTTTTTAGATATATATGTACAATGAGGCTACTAGTATTTTGTTTGTCATGTTCAATAAGACAAAATATATTTGTTTAAAGTCATAGGATCCTGAAAAAAAATGATTTTTTTTTTTTGTAAATACTTGAATGGCTAATAGGTTTTACTTTTAAAAAACGTGTACATATACTATTATTTAAAAGGAAATCCTTTATCGTATCCAAATCTTTAGCAATGTACTGCTATTAAATTGTTATCTTCCCGCACTCTGATTCACCGGGAGCAGGACGTTTGCGCTTTTTTACATGTAACACGAGAGGACATTTGCCCACCAAACATTTTTAAACACCTGGCAGCTTGTCCAGTATATTTGGTTTGTCCTGTATTATGGGCTTTTTATGTATGATGTAATGCATATAGACTCTACTTTCAGTTTTTTTTTTAATATACACAGGCCTTGTTATGACAAATGATTAGGAAAAAAGATGTTAAAAATACAAAAACAGTGCAAAATATAAAACTAAAATTATTTAATGAATTTGCCTAGACTATAAAAAAAATTCCAACTTGAACATCAGAATAACAAATATGTAAAAAGACTATGGTAGGGCGTATATTTTACAAAGCCTATGACCATGGAAATTAAAATAATCCTTTGTCATCTTAATTTTTTATAATCATCCATATTCACTGAATTTCATTAATTGTCAAAATCATTTATAGATATGGTTCCATGCAATGCTAAGAAGAGTAAGAAAAAAAAATAGAAGACTCGTGTAGACCAATGAATTGCTCCAAAAACGGCCATTTACATGTAAATCAGGGCTGAGATTACAATCAGAGACATCATGTTATAACATATACAATAATCTTAGATTCAATACAAACAGGCCTGGGACTATTATACTACAACAGTTAGTATAATAGTCCCAGAACAGGCTGAGACTGCTATATAGTAGTCTAAGTCAGACGACTACTACTTTTTATATAACATAGCTTTGTTGCAATAAATTAAACCCTAACGGGTTAAAATGTAAACTGTAAATGTAAATAAGAAAGGAGACATCACATGAGATACATATAGATCCATATAGACAAAATTGAAATACTATGTCTGATAAGAAACCATAAAAAAAACAGTGACCGTAGCGGTTCTGAATAACTGAATTAGTTATTGAAGAAATATTTGCTTTATTGCTTCAATTTTTAGAGTATGTAGAAAGTTGTATAAAATATTTGACAACTGGTTTACTGTTTCTTGGTGTTGCGTTGAAACCTAAAAATCAACACTTCATAATGAATTTTGCTATGCAGGTCACATGACTGTAAAATGGCTTCCAAAGAAATCGGTCCCAGAAATAGTGATCATTCGACGATTCATGCAAATATTGAATCAGCAAAACAGTGTTTGGATCTTGCCAGGGAACGGTTGCTTTTCAAACACTTTGATGATTGTATCAAAACATGCGAAAGAGGCATAGTAAAAGCTAAATTAGAATATAATGGGTATTAATATGTTTATTTATTAGTTTACTGTTTACATTGTGTAGTTATTACTCTATTATATAATACATAAACCCCTTTTAATATTCTGTGTCACAGTCCGAAGATTTTTTCTTATGTGAATGGTCAAATCAGAAAATCACTGTGGACACAGTAAGAATCCCAAAAGGTGCATAGGTTGCTGTCGTCTACTTCAAAATTTAAGTAACAGTCTGATCATTGACCCTTAAAATGCCACTGTGCATCTTTATGCAAAAATCTTCATGTTGTTAAATGTTTATCATGAACATGAATTTGTGTTAAATATATATAGACCCCAATCAAATCTTTTACCATTTATTCTCCCTGCATGAACATGTAACCAGATCAACTTTGTCTACCAGGCAACAATTTTTTTACAAAGGTCATAGACGCAAGACTTAACTGTTGTTATGGCATCGGCACTAGCCACAGCTTCGTGAGTTGTTTAATTTTGTGATAAGGTCAAATTGCCAAGACAAGTCTCTGGGTTAACAGGTTTTTTCTCTCAACATTTTGGCCAATTTTTTTACATTTGGTTAAATGTACTTAAGATCTACAAAAAGGGCCCTCTAAGCCCTATCATAAAAATACCACTAAACTTATTTTTGGGGAAAGATTCTTCACTCTTTACTGCCATGTTTCATCTCTTTAAAGAATTTATTTCTCATGTCAGATAAACTGTTCTTTATATATTTATCAAATAATTGCAAAACATGTATTTCAAAAACACAGCAACAGTTATCTGACTTTCAAAATGACTTGTGGGGGAAACTGCAGTTACAATTAATGTAGCTATTAAAATAGAAAATATCAGATTATTCCTTGAATGAAAAAACTTAATTAAAAACAAAGCAATCAAGGTGTCTACATGTAACTAATTTGTCTTTTATTTTACTTATAGAATTGTCTTTTTTATATGCATCTGATTTTAATGATCATTATGAAATACAGTACGCACTGAGAGTTTGTAATCGCGAATTCTAATCGCAGATTTCGGAGTGTAGCGGTGTCACACTGCGAATCACGGATTATACTCCCAATTTCCTCCAAAGATTCTCTCCCAACACCGCGTGGCTGTTAATTGGTTTATTGCCCATCGGATGTACTGAAAATTAATGACGCGTGACAACATAATCGGATTAGCCAGATTTATTACCTTTGTACAATTAATTGATCTTGATTGCACCTGTGTGCTTTAAAACACGGTATTAAAATTTCCTTTCTTTGACAGATAAAAATGTGACATTTTCATTCAAAATAAGATAATTATTCTTGTATGTATTTGTCCCATGTCATTGTCATTTGAAATAAAACGTACAAACATATAAAAATACGAATAAAACACTTATTTTGTATTTTTATTATAGTCCGGTCAGGTCATAATTTTTGTTTTTTCAACAAAGACAATTTTACTACAATTAGAATCTTTTATGACCTACTCAGTGAGCAATATCCGGTTCATTAATTGTTCAATATATAAATATCAACTGGCTTAAAACAAAATGATGTTTTTACGGTAATTTGTCCAATCTAAACCCAAGAGTTAATTTATCGGATCAACAAGTGAACTCTGTTACTTTCAATTTATTTTGCAATGTAAAATATTATGTTTCACTACCTCGGTAGATTACCGACTTGAAATATTTGAACTCAGAAAAGAAACTGTAAAGTGACAACTCTGTTGAACGAAGGGAAAACGTTTTGTATGCAATGTGCCCTATATTCATAAAAACACAACACTGAAAGACATTCCCCGCCCAGACACAACACAATAATCACAACCTAATTTAATTATATGAAGAAAAAAAATCATGTGTTGTTTATCTCTTGTTAAGATCTGTTATTGATCCTTTATTATTTAAAATAAAATTGGATGGGCGCAATCTGTATTTTACTGCTCGTTAAAAGTCCTTGGCGAAATTTAAAAAAGGAGTATTTCAACAATTAGTACTATAAAATATTTAAATGAAATTATATCGTGTTCTACAAGAAAGAAATATGTGAAAAAAATGTGGATCGGATTTTTACGATCTACACATTTTCACAGAGGATCTCTACCAACGCCAAATATAGTTTTTTTTTAATAAAACTATTTTTAAATGAACAGTGTAATTGAAAGAATTAACAACAACGTTTTGCTTTTAAATCTTTTATTTGTTTCAAGCAATCAGAAATATAACCTGATTATCAATAGACAGGAAATACAATTGTTTAATTACATAAGTAATCTCATATACCTTGACTGTCGCGTGCCGGTATAGATCAGAAGGATTAGGGCAATTAATTACCTGGTGTGACACCGCGTCACACCGGACTGGGAGAGATGTCGCTAATACAATAAACAAAAGGTAGCGAATTTACGCGGAAGTCAGAGGGAATACTCCCAAATTTCTCCGAGAATTTAGGGAGGGATGTCGGAGTTTCCTGGTGTCACACCAAGAAAAAACTTGGTGTTCGGAGTTTGGGAAGCCTATCGCGAAATCTGTACTGTACTTGTTCAATTTCTCTTGAATGGATGCAAAGCAAGTATACTTGACAACAATTTTCAGAAGGATATTTTTCACTGATTAAAAATGTTATATCTTTCAAAAAGATTCAAATGAAGCTCATAGTGTATGTGACTTGGGCTAAAGATGATAAGACGTAAAAATGATACTGCTAAACCTTGGCTGCCAAAACTTCCAACATAGACAAGTATTTTGAAGGTTCATTTAAATTTCTATAGCTATGAACAAATTCTTTAAGAATTTAACTAACATTTTCTAATTCCTTTAACATTCATAAAGAAAGGTGAGCAACTGTCCAATGACTGGTGCCTAGCTGAATTATTGATAAAATAAACTTTTATCTTTTTAGGAGTCCTGATATTGTAGAAGCACTATGCATTGTTGGAATACAGGCCTATGCAGAGCTAAATCATTGGCAACAGGTTCTTCCTTATGTACAGAATGTGTATACAAGTATTGAAGAATGTCCATTTAGAGTAGTTCAGCTATGGTGGGTGAAATAAACAGTTTCAAACATGATATAAAATCAAACTATGGTCAATGTTTGTAGTCTTTGATAAACAACATTGTCAAGTTGTTTGAAGACACAACATTTCACAACAGCCATTCTAAAATAAGTATACAAATGATGTACATGTTGTACATGATTCAAAACAGATGTGTGTACAAACTTTTGTAAGACACCGACAGCAACACTAAAACACAATTTAACAAAAAATAGACATCTGCAGGTCAGCATTTATACAGTCCAACAATGGACAACCATCCACAATATGGTAATTCCATACATGTGTAGGCTTGGTTAAAACCATAAAGTTTTTCAAGTTTAGATAATAACATACTTTTGTATATGATAACCATTTCAATGCTAAATTCTTATACAAAAAAAGGATATTCTGGAAATAAACAAATAACACTGAACATGTGAATGTTTGAACTTAGGATTAAAACATAAATTTAAGGTTGCAACCTCAAAATATGACATTCAAACATTGTAATCTCCTGTACACTTCGTTCTAATGTGAATACTGCATAAGTAAATAAGAAGTTCACTGGAAGGGAGACAGTATCAAGGCCATAAAAAAGAATATGTTTGTTTGCCCTAACCCTACCTACCAAGAAAATAGCTGCCTACTAAAAATCTTTTATTGTCCTGATGTGAAAATTTTTTTTTTAATCAGATAGGCATGAAGACTAACAAACATCTGACACTTCAATTTCTCTTTGCAGAAAAAAAAAGAAATTGCCTACCTACCTACCCACTGTCTCTACCTTTGGGTAGGGTTTGGGCAAACCAAAATATTTTTAAATGTGGCCCAAAACCCTCCAAACTGCCTCTTGTCTCATGCTGTACTGGAGGTCATGGGTTCAATCCCAAGCTGGTACAAAGGGAATACTCTTACATTGGTATTTACTGCTTTTCTGTCAAGTATTCAGCATTTATAAGTAATAAAAAAGACCGTTGATTTGGAGAAAAGAAAGGTGGCATGTCCCTCTGTAACATTATCTTGTTAGCTAGCAGGTTAAAATGCTACTCATGTCTCAAAACAGGGCATTAACATTTTATCATCATGAAGATGCATGTGATATTTGCCCCTGAATTTTTAGAAGACTGCAATCAACCAATCTTGCACCTCAATTGTGATTGTATTACTTCATAGAACTTTAAGATCAACTTAACCAATATCAGTATGTTATGAGAAAAGTTAACAGCACATAATTTTTTAATTTAACCATAATAGATTTAGTTTGAAGGTAATCATTTTATATATATCTTGTTTTGCAGTGTATTACTTCATGCCAAAGTAGAAGAGTATTCACAGTGTTATGCAATTGCTAGCATTTGGCTGAAAGATGTCAAAAACCAGAATGATCCCGATTACTTGACATTAGTTGAATTATACATATTAAATGTTTTGGTTCCAAGACAACAATACAATCTCATTGAACCTTTTGTGGAAGCTTGTCCAGGGCTGAATTATGAACAGAGGAAAATGTTGTGCAATAATTATAAAACTTTTGAATTTATATCCTCTTCAAATCAGGAGAATCCTGAAAATGAATATAGTACAACAGGGGAGATAATCAAGAAACAAACTCCAAATGTTGTAAAAGGTAATAGCATATGCAGTTTCTTTACCTTGTGGTTTTTACTTGATATCAATTATGCTTCTTCCAAACTTCATTTAGTTTAATATGTATGATATTAAAGGTTTTGTATTGAATTTGGAAACATAATGCTCTTTAATCATTTTGTAATATATTAATTATATGCCTTTCACAATTAATCTAGGTTATTGTGTCTTTTTTAAAGACTTTATAATTCTGAGCAGTTATATGAATTCAAGAGGTGAGATAGCAAGCAATTAACATTACCAAAAATGTACCACTTTGCTGAAACAAATATGAGTTAAAAGTCTGTTTTAGATAAAAATATGATAACTTATGATTTTTTTATTGTTATAAATTTTCATATTTCATAAGTTCTTGTTTTTTTTGGCAGATTCTTGGCTAATGGAGGTTATAAAGAATATAAAGTTTGCCATATTTGGCAGTGCACCATTATACAGCTTTAAACTCATCAAGATGACCATTCTTGCTGTGTGTCTATATTTAGTAACAATAGGTCATCAAAGAGGTAGGAACAATTAATGTGATTTATAGGTGACAAGTATTTTAAATAGGACAAGTCAATTTAAAATAATAATAATAATAAATAATAATAAAATTCTTTATTTAACGAAAGTAACACATTTAATAATTACATGTTAATCTTCCATGAGGCCTTCAATTTAACAGTATTAGAATTCAAAGAAAGTAGTAATCAGTATTAGTATTGTGATAGGGGTCTCTTCAGGTATCAATAACAAAGGAGACTTTATAGAGTTCGGATGGTTTATTACCAGAGAATATAAACTCACTTGTGGAGCGAGTTCTCTAGTAAGTAAGGAACTTAGCACAAAGTATAAACAAGTAATCTACACCAGAATCATGTCAGTAAAGATGTCGTGTCTAGAACTATAAAGCTGAATATATTAATAAATATAATCTGTAAATTCAGGATTCCTATATATTCAGTCTGGACAAATAAATGAATGTCTTTCTCTGACCAGTGTCCAGGTAAATTCTACCCAAGGAACACAAAGGAAAAACTCAACTTAACTGCCAATAACTAAGAACCAATCAAAACAAGAGTTCAATTTTAACCCCTGTGAATATGCATGAGTAACATTACTCAATACGTGAATTTTATACTAAATCAAGTCAAAAAGGATAAATATCCTTCAGTAAGAATACTTTGCAAGAGTGAAATAATTAAACTGAATTTCCAATAAGAATTTGATAAATAGATTTTTATTATAAATCAATGATTTCTAAAGTAGAAATTACATAATTAATAAAGCATAAAAAATCACTCTGCTACATCATAATACATTTATTCTTTATTTTGGTAACTACAATAAAGTCTATGGTCTTACAATGTATATAAGAGAATATGAATTTAAGTTTTGAAAGTTAAATATATTTTGCATGCAATAGAATCAATCTTATTCCTTTTTTCCATTCATGATATTTACATAGAAATTTAATTATGAATTTTGACTGATATCATACAGAAGTGTATCCAAGGAAAAAAACATGATTTTTTGTTAAAGTTTACCCTGATATTGTTATGGTTAAGGTCATAAACTTATATTAACATATTAAAATTACTCTTGTTTATTCTTTGCAAATGGTTAATTCATATAATCAAAGCTTATCAGCACATGTATATGATGTATTTTAATCTTTTTGCAGGATTTCTGACAAGCAATTTCAGCAAAGTTGGAATACTGTTTCAAGGAATGGTTAAAGTATTCAAGTCACTGTTTGGACCAGTGAGTTATACAATGAGATGAAGAGAGAAAAAAGTCATCTACGTTGTTATGTATCACTTTATTCAAGTATGGATGCAAGCTTAAATGTCATAGTGGAGAGAAAAAGTCATCTGTGTTGTTATGTATCACTTTATTCAAGTATGGATGCAAGCTTAAATGTCACAGTGGAGAGAAAAAGTCATCTGTGTTGTTATGTATCACTTTATTCAAGTATGGATGCAAGCTTAAATGTCATAGTGGAGAGAAAAAGTCATCTGTGTTGTTATGTTTCACTTTATTCAAGTATGGATGCAAGCTTAAATGTCACAGTGGTATGACAGGTGCTATGAAGATCATCCTAAATGTGTCAAAATACTGTCAACTCTTAACATGTAAAACTTAGGAGACAGTGTGCTTTACCTTATTCAGAATAAGTGTACTTTACGTTATTCAGAATTAGTGTTCTTAACCTTATTCAGAATTAGTGTACTTAACCTTATTCAGAATTAGTGTACTTAACCTTATTCAGAATTAGTGTGCTTTACCTTATTCAGAATTTAAAATTTTGTAATGTATTACAAAAATGTTCATGGGGTTAAGAGAAATATTGATTTTGTATTATAGATAAATGACATTGTTACTTACTGTGGACACTTCTATTTTCAAGGGTACCAAATTTCGAGGATGCAGGAAAAATTGCATTTTAGTGGGTACTTGAATTCATGGTTTTCACAATAAATTTCATATCAAATGATACAAAATAATCCATTTAAATACAACCCTAATACAAAATTTTGATAATCATAAACAGAAAGTTAAAAAATACTTCAATGTACTTGAAGGTACATGTACCTGTTAAGGTAGATAGGGTGTCTTCCTCCATCTTGGATTCTGAAAAAGCAGATAACAATCGGTCCAGATCTTTAATGAAATGTGCAAATTTCGAGAGTAGTATGTAATTCATGTGTAAGATTTTTCATTTTAATATAGAAAATTATGTGTTTTATCATATTTACAGCTGTATGTTACAAAAATCAGATGATTTTTGTTTTAATCATTTTTCTTAAATTTTGCCATATAAGGGTAGATAACTCAGATACAAGGAGAGATAACTCGATAAAGTAACTTTTGTAATAGAATGTGTTGTGAATTAACCTATTTTATTATGTAGCAAGAAAACAAGTCCCGTGACCCCATTATTTCTTTTTCTTATCTGAAAGCATATTATTAGAGCTATATTCTGATATTTTATCTTAAAATTCTATGGTGCAGTTTTCTTTTTATCACCCAAATTTGGGTTTTCCATGCATAATCTATACAAAATCTGACAATTTTGCGCAACCCGTAGCGTGAAAAAAAGCACAGTGACCCATACTTTTTATTATATTTTTGAAAAAAGCATGATATAAACTTCATTTTGACAAATTATCTAAAATTCTATGGATTTAAATTATGACCCCCATCTACCTTAAGTACTGAGACCTTGCTTAATCAGTCAAGAATCAAACAGATTTTTAAGTCCATATACACATGTACATTATTTAATTTGTTTATATGACAATAAAGATTATTATTATTTGTTCTCACAATGTAGGATAGTTGTGTGAACAATTTATTTTTTTTTAGTCAGAATCTTGCCAAACAAAACAAGGTGTTTTTTAAATTACATTGTTACTTGGTATTTACTGTTGATAAACATTAAATCATGATTAAATTGACAGCTTTTTCTTTCACTGCATCATTTGGAAATGTTTAAAATTTACAACTGGTTGTTATTTATATTATATACAATTTATTAATAAGTGCTTCCTTTTTAGCTCAAATAGTCAAAAGGGTTAGTTTATCTGTAACTTTGATATGGTGTTAGTTTTTTATCATTTGTTATTAACCGAATTTTCGAAGGAAATATCGGTTATTAAAATGGTGATGTACGGCGGGTGGCTGGGCGGATCTATGGGTGGCTGCCAAACAGTGTCAGCACAATAACATGAAAACGCTTTAACAAATTTTTTTCAAATTTAAATATGTTGTATCCTGGGACTTAATGAAGGGCTAGTTCAATTTTCAAGATATTAGTATATCTCCTTTGTGAGTTATCGTTATTTTTAATATCCAAAAGTGGAATTTTTAAATATTTTACTCTTGTTATTTTTTTCATGACTAAGCATAATGTCTTATCTCACAATAAAAATTGTAGTGACAGATTTATTTGAAAATTATCTATTTCCTAAGTGGTAATGATTATAAGCTATATTATTAGACATTTTAAAGTTAATTACATTATTAATTATTAACTAGATCTGGGTTATATCTTAGCATATAATATCATTGGAGACAATTTTGGAGTGACAGATTTATTTGAAAATTTTCTGTTTCCTGATAAGATCTGTAGGACTGTATATATAAAGTTTGAAATTTACTAGTAGGACTGTATAAATGAAATTTGAAATTTATTAGACATTTTGTAGATATTTAAGTCTCCCTAAACCATATATATTCTTACCCCCACCCCTTTCAATTTGAGAATGTGCTTTTATCTTTTTTTGTAAATGGTTGAGATCCCCACCCCTAAATCATATATATTCTTGTATGGGACAATAAAACAAATCAAATGAAATATTTGGGGAGTCCCCAGGTTCACCCCCACCCCCTACTTTTTGAAAACTTGTAAACAGTCAAGATCCCAACCCTGAAACCATATATATTCTTGTATATGACAACAAAACAAATCAAATGAAATAAAAAGGCCAGTCCCCTGGGGTCACCCCCACCCCCTCCTGTTTGAGAACTTGTAAATGGGTGAGATCCCCACCCCTAAACCATATACCGTATAGCGGGTTATTTTCGCGGGGTGTTTATTTTCGCTTATTTTGGCGGGTCAGGAGAAATCGCGAAAATAAATTCAGCGAAAATTTATGCATACGTTCGATACTTTCTAATAGCTAAAGCGTTTTGTAAACTATCTATTTTCCCTGTTTGACGGATCAATAACGGTTTATGTTAATTTAAACAATATAAATGCCAAATGCCATTGTTCACTGGCTATCAGGTTTTAATTATTTTTGGGTTACATTATAAAATAAATAATGATATAAGAGTGTAAGGTACGCTTGTCAGGTATTTTATCCTTATGAATAAGTGTCAAATTATATAAGAGTTGCAAGTCACTCATGATAAATTTATAATCTAATTAGTACTTCAAAGGTCCGGTCAATTTCGTAACTAATCAACTATTGATTAACTGTATCAAAATATAATCAATAAATAAGACGACATGCAGGTAAAACAATCATTTAACCATAACAATAGACCCGTGTTTGTCAATTTTGAAAACTTGCAACCATTTCAGTAAACGCCAAAATATTTAATTGGAATTAAAGAATCCACCAAAATAAAAACCGCCAAAATTTTTCGTATACTTTGTTGCCCCAAAATCGCGAAATTTTACACCCGCGAAAATAACCCGCTATACGGTATATTCTTGTACAGGACAATAACACAAATCAAATGAAACATAGGGGAAGTCCATGGGGGTCACCCCCACCCGCCTTCTTTTTGAAAACTTGTTAACGGTCAAGATCCCCTGCCCGAAAGTATATATATTGTTGTATGGGACAATAAAACAAATCTAATGAAATAAAAGGCGAGTCCCCTGGGGTCACCCCACCCCATCCTGTTTAAGAACTTATATATCGAGATCCCCACCCTAAACCATATATATTCTTGAATGGGACAATAAAACAAATCAAATGATAAATAGGGGAAGTCCATGGGGGTCACCCCCACCCCCTTCTTTTTGATAACTTGTAAACAGTCGAGATCCCCACCCCTAAACCATATATATTCTTGAATGGGACAATAAAACAAATCAAATGAAATTGAGGGGGAGTCCCCTGGGGTCACCCCCACCACCCTTTTTTTTTTAAACTTGTCAACGGTCAAAATCTCCACCCCGAAACCATATATATTCTTGTATGGGACAATCAAACAAATCAAATGAAATACAAGGCGAGTCCTCTGGGGTCACCCCCACCCCTTCCTGTTTAAGAACTTGTAAACAGTCGAGATCCCCACCCCTAAGCCCATATTCTTGTATGGGACAATAACACAAATCAAATGAAATATAGGGGAAGTCCATGGGGGTCACCCCCACCCCCTTTCTTTTTGAAAACTTGTAACGGTCAAGATCCACACCCTGAAACTATATATATATTCTTGTATGGGACAATAAAACAAAACAAATAAAAAATAAAAGGCAAGTCCCCTGTGGGTTCTTTGAAATGGTTAATCTAAACCTGTATTTCTTTTCATTATTAATAAGATAATACCACATTGAGGTCCAAAGGGTCCTAAATTACGCTTTTGATTAATTTCATCAAAAATTGAATTGTTTGGTTCTTTGATATGCTGATTCTAGCAATGTTTGAGTAAATCATATCTAATTTTAGAGAACTTAGTCATCACTGGTTGTTGTTATTATATTATTGATTATAATTTGAAAAATTGCATCATATCTTATTTTAGTGAACTATTTATCCAGTTTGAGTTATTTCCCTTTGCACAAAAAATATTATGGATAAAATTAACCTGTGTTTCATTTCAACATAAATTAAATATATATAGGGTTCTTTCAAATGCTGAATCTAAACCTGTATTTAAATATTGGATTTTTGGGCCCAGTTTTCAAGTTGGTCCAAATAAGGTTTCAAAATTAAACTTTGTTTGATTCAACAAAAAATTATTTATGGGGTTCTTTGAAATGCTGAATCTAACCATGTATTGAGAGATTTTGGATTGTGGGCTCCTTTATCAAATTGGTCCACATTGAGGTCCAAAGAATCTTAAATTAAACTTTTGTCTGATTTCATCAAAAACTAAATTCTTGGGGTTCTTTGATATGCTGATTCTAAAATGTACTTAGATTTTTGATATTGGACCATAATAGGTATTTGAATGTCCAATTTCAAGTATTTCAGTTCTTAAACCACATTCATTTTGTGTCACAAACCTATGCTGTGTCAAATATTCAATCACAATCCAAATTCAGAGCTGTTTTAAACTTAAATGTAGTGTCCATACTTGCTCAACTGTTTAGGGTTCGACCTCTGCAGGAAAATCCGGTTTGCTGTCACTCTGACAGCCTCTTGTTTCAATATAATTCTCTTCACCAGTTAAGAGCAAACTTAGCATGAATTATCTTATTGTGTTTTACCTTAGAAATCTTTGACTGATGATTCTGTAAACCAACCTGGTGACCAATTAGTAACAAAGCATATATATTTTAGCAGTATACCAGGATTACTTCTCAAATTGGCATTAATTTAAGCAGCCTAAGTAACTATTTTTATGCCCTTGCTGTAGCGGAGGGGGCTTTAAGTTTTACCCTTGTCCGTCTGTACGTCCCAAAGTTGGTTTCCGTTCTCTAACTTTAGTTTGCCTCAACCAAATGAAATGAAACTTATATAAAATGCTTATTACCACAAAACACAGATCAAGTTTGAATTTTTCTTTGGAAAATACTAATCCTTTGAGGCAACAATATTGTACGATTGTATTTTGTATTAAAAGGGTTTGAGTCCTATAAAAAAAATATCAAAAGATAGGAAATTAATTTTTTTGTTGATATGATATTACATTTTTAGGCATATTTAATTAATTTTACTGAAAGAATAGTTTTGCTTTCAATTTCGTTTTTTAACATTAAAGATACATAATTATTGCTAAAACCTAGAAGAGTTGGTTTTAATATGTTATGTTAATATTTTATATAATCTACATTATGGCTTTTCATCTTAAAATGATTCAATATATTAAATGTAGACTACACATTTGATATATTGAATCATTATAAGATGATAAGCCATTTTTCAAGTTCATATTTTTATGGCCGCCTTGGATAATAAAGGGGCATTATATTTCTTGTCTGTCCATCCATTTGTTCGTCCATCCTGTATCAGGTTTGGAGTTTTGAAGTCACTTCAACTTGAAACTTAGTAAACTTGTTCACTATGAAGGGAACTGTTTAAATTATAAACCAAAATGAGGGTTTTGACCAAGATTTCATAGTTAACTAAACATGGAAATGTGATAGTGCAAGCAGGGCATGGTGTCATATGTACACATATTGTTTGTATGATATATTTGTACATATAATGTTGCATATATTTTAACAAAGAAAAAGCAAATGAATTTGGTTTGTTTTGTAACATATCTAGGCTGTGCAATAATGTATAGTATTGTTGTGATTTTTTTGTTAGTTTCTTAGTATTTTTTGTTAAAGATGTTAATTGTAAGTACATTTATTATTTTTGTATTAAACTTTGATACATTTGATAGATATTAAGTCATATTTCATTATTAAAATGACATTTTTATAAATTTTGAATATCCGTAAAAATGATCTGATATTTTGTATATACTATAGTTTTATGTAGGTAACTAATATGTAATGGATTAGTTCATATTTTGTTTGATGAATGTGCACTAGGAAATATTTCATGCATACTCTGGACATTTACAAGTTGAAAAGAAAATAGAAAAAGTGACATAATAGGCACTAACTTTTGACTGCTACTGAAAAAGTTAGGACTGTTAGCCAGCCCCAAGGTTACTAGAGTTGACAAATCAAGCCTTATGTAGTATACAGGTGTCATGAAGTTCCTATTTTCTACAAAAACAGAAGGAGTATTTTCAATGTAGAGTTGTTGCAACATTCTCCAAACAGGACCTGGTCTATAACTTAGCTTTCAGTAATATCACTTTTCAATGGAGTATTTGTCACAATCTTTTAAATGTGGCAAGTTGACGATGAAGACCATATAGGAACTATGTGTCTAGATAATTCTCAGAAAAAAATGTACAAATTGTTCAATCCACATCATCTGCCATAATGGCCAATACTATTTAAACCATAATTTAGACCTGAAATTGACAAACATATCTTGATATGTAGGGTTTTCAACAGACTGTCACTTTAGTAATGACTGTTTTCTATCAAAGATTTGTTTCATCATTGTTCAGAAGATATGTCATTAGATAAAAGGAAATGTAAGGTATACATCAATGAGACAGCAACCTAACAACACATTAAATCAAAAATGGAGAATGTGTCCAGGGACACAGATGATGCCCCCGCTTACATATAACGTTATAAAGGGACATAACTCAAGAACAGTAAAAGTGACGCAACTCAAATTCGAACTTGATCTGTGTTTTGTGGTAATTAGTATTTTGTATTAGTTTTATAACATTTGGTTGAGGCAAATTAAAGTTAGAGAACGGAAACTAATATTAGGACGTACGGACAGACAAGGGTAACACCTCTGCCGTGGCGGGGGCATAAAAATCATGTTGATGTGGATGTTGCAAGTCAGGATCATCATTCAAAGGTTATACTATGACTTGTATTACAGGTGTGAATGAGTACTATTAAGTCAAGTTTTGAAGTTAGGGGTCCATTTGCCAGAAATGAAAGTATATAGTATAAATTATATATGTTGATGATATTTCACCATGATTGCTTCTTGTACATCACAATGCTTTTCCACTGCATTTAAGCCCCTCTTACCATCAATTTTATGAAGTTGTATGAATAAAGGGAAATGTGGCATCTATGTGAATAAGACAGTAACTCAACAACACAAAATAGACTTCTAGAAGTTAACATATAGTCTTCTATAAAAGATTGGTGTTGATACAACATATCAAACTCTTAATCACCTGGAATCTTAATTCAGATTTATGGAAGAAACCTGCAACTGTTATTTTAAAAATTGAAAAAGCAGATTAAAATATTAAGTAGTTTTTACACAATAATATCTGCAACTATATTCAGAACTATACTAAGTGTATAAAAGTGTTGAAGATATTTTATATTTTAGCAGCAACAAAAATTAATTATTAAACCTTTGGTTTATTTTACAAAAAAACCCTAAAAGTCTGTTTATATTACACATGTTGCAGAATTTTATTTGAGTGTCCACTAATTTTACCAAAGAATAAATAGGAATTTCATATGTGTCTATTGTGATCTCTTTCTCTGGTATACATAGGCTATGGTGATCTGGCAATTCTATTGTTAATAGAGCTATATCTTGCTATCACTCATTCATACATACATACATGCATACAAAAAACAACCTATGAATAGACCATTGTCAATACATAAGGCCTAGCTAAAACACATTTCTACTCTTCAAGAAGGCATTAGCCAACTTCATAGACGGCTTTTAGTTATTTGTGTATTTTTTTGTTGCTGTATACTCCACATCTCTTTTGTTATTCATATTTAAAAATATAATGGAAATACATCATTCAATTCAAATATAATCCAATACAACAAGAGCTGATTGGAATGACTGTCATTATAATGGATGATACTAACTCTAAACTTGTATTTATGCCCCTCCACCGGACATACAAAAGAAACACACAGGCACTCATTCTTCCAATACACAATACCACAGTGGAACAATTTACCTATCTCTTTCTGTTGATATCTTTATAGAGAACAAATCATAGCTGCTGTTCTTTGAACTCTTATTTAAAAAATAAAACATCTTATACATACTTTCTGGGACTAATACACGTATCTATTAATTCCAGATACTTTCAACTACATAGTTTATTGTTTTGCACTAACCTAGCAAATTGGTAAACTGTTCCATTGAATGTCCTTTTTTCCCGTTAATTTATGCAAATAGGCCAAGCATGCAACAAGCATGCAACAGTACATAATCACCTACCTATTGTGTAACTGGATTCATGAAAACCTAAAAAGAAGAAAAGAAGGAGACTTGTGGACATGTAATTGGCTGGTTTACGTTTCAGTGAGAAAATAATTAGCAAGATCTCAGCTAGGCTGAACAACACTACTGATACTTAAGAAATAATTCTTCTTTCATGCCATGCTTTATGCTCATTTTAAAATGGGTAGGCATTATATTTGTCAATATCTTTATACCGAGCGTTAGCGAGGTGTAAAATATTGACAAATATAATGCCACTCATGTTAAAATTAGCATAATTGCCATAAAGCATGGCATGATAGAATTATTTCGATTATTTCGATTCCGATAGGATTATTTAGAACTTTTGTACTTCGATTGATTGTTGATTGCTTAACGTCCAGTGGCAAATATTTCATGCATGTTCAGGACGAGAATAAGTTAACAATAAATACAATAGGTAGGTACTGTAATAGAGGCCATCCGGGATGAAGGTCAGGGAAATTTGGACTGCCACGGGAAAAATGAGGGTATATTGGATAAGGACAGAAATTTAGCCTTGCAACAGGCCACCTACGGACCCCTCAAAGAGTTGTTGCAAGGGTTCTTAACGTGCAAAGAACGTGGCACTCTCTTTACACGAGGCATCGGATTTAACGTCCCCATTCTGACCGGACGTGACTGCGAACTTGTACATCCCGCACAGCCAAACGGAAGCCCCACTTTAGCGAGGGTTTTACCGCCGGTTGGAGGAAGACCAATGGTGACCATATTTCTATTCCCCAGTCACCCTTGGGAGGTTTTGTACTTCGAAGCGGACCTAAAATTATTATACACACCTCCGGCGTTGTTCAAAATACAACTGACGTTGCAATTTCAATTGTGACGTCAATCACGTGCAGCCAACGACAACCACGGGGCTTCCACAGGGTACCCCCCTCAGGTCGCAAGGTCGCTTTTAAATTCGTCGCAAGGTCGCGAGGTCGTTTTTAAGGGAAATGTACAGGTCGCAGGTAGTTTTTTTCTAACAGGTCGGAAGTCGTTTTTATATTTAAAGGATCCATTTAAGTCATTGTTGTGTCGATTCTTGTGTTATTAAACCAGGAACATAACCAGGGTCAGAATTTTATTCTCTCAAACATCTCAAATCAAATGGTCCGTACCTTAGACTTTAAATATATCTAGAGCTTATTGACTGGGGATCATTATTCAGCTATGTTATTAATAGGCTGGGGCGTGTTGGGTTAAACATGTTTCCGTAGGTAAATAATATTGCTGTGGAACTTTTTTTTCAAGAAAGTGTAATAGAGTATTGACCAGTATTACTTTCTGTTCGGTGGAATTGTGAAATAGAAGTCAACAAATACGTTCTTGCTCAATCCTTTGTCGCTTTGAAGGTGTCATGCTTGTCATCCTCAGCCTAAGCAATGTGTTACTGTAATTTGAATTTCAAAATGATTGAGTGACGTTTTTTCGACGCACTGGTCAACTCCACCGTAGCGAATCACATGATTTTGACATAATCAATAATATTCTAGTCAACAAAAGAAACGATACAAAGTTAAATTTATCAATAATTCTATATTTTACAATTTAAAGTTTCTGTATAAGTTTATTTCTGTATTCAACATCAAAAAGCACCTGTTAAGTCTTTTTAAAAAAAAATAAAAATCCGAAACGAATACGACGAAAATCCTGAATGTTACTTTTTCGTCCGCTAATCGAGTTCGCCGTGAATCAATGAAGCATTTAAATTGTTTGATGTCAATAATTGGGCTACTGCATCAGGTAAATAATTTGCCATCTTAAAAAATGGAGAGAAAAAATCGAGCATTTGATGCCACGGTTACTCCAAAATGAGCATGAACAAGCTGTTGCTATGGTCAGAGCTGGGATGACGCACGCTGCATGACGTCGCAAATCATTTTCATGGGGCTGGAATAACAATATCAAGACTTGATGATTCGTCTTAGGCAATCCGGCTCAACAAATGATAGATCCCGTAGCGGCAGACCCCATGCGACGTCACAACGTCCAAATCGCGCGATACGTCTTTTACACTTTCGCAACCGTTTTGGAGGCGGATGTTCGGTGGTATGGGGTGGAATATGTCACAACGGACGCACACAGTTAAAAGTCGTTGATGTTAACTTGAACGATTTGAGATATAGGGGTCATAGGGATCAAATTCGACAAAGCGGTTTCAACCACGTCTTCCAACAGGATAACGTTAGATGTCACGTGACATGGATTTGTATTGACAATCTTGAGCAAAACCATTTTCGAGTTCTCCCTTGGCCAGCATTTTCACTGAATCTCTCTCATATAGAACATTTATGGGATCAAGTTGGCAGACGTGTTCGATAAGGCATAATCCAACCGGGAAACGCTACAAAGCTTGCATTTGGCTCTCATACAGGAGTTGAATAATATCCCCGAATCCAACATTATGACTTTGGTAGGATCTGTGCCTCTTAGGTGTGAAGCTGTGGTAGCTGCGAGAGGCGGCCATGCATACTCGCTATTACATTCCGCAAACTGAAATTCCGGATACTGACTTTGATCCGTCCGTATTCAGTCCAGGAACTGTCTGGAACGTTATTTTTT